ACCTTTTTCCCCATCTCTCGATCTGTTACCACGGCTGGCTCAGGCCTTGCAGCGCAGACCGCTCCGCGAGCAGCCCCTGCCACCCCCGCCGAACGGCCAGGGCCAGGGCAAGGCGTATCGCTGGGCCCACCGGCTCACGCAACAGCGCCAGCAGCAGCATTGCTGGGTTGTGAGTCCATCAAATTCCAAGTCAGTTCTCGTAACCGTGACAAGTTTTTACTTATAAAATAAGCATAACCTGTAACCTGCGTCAGCTACAACAACGTAGCGGCGTATCTCTCTAGAAACCTACTTGAAAGACCTGTTCCTAAGAGATTGCTTTTAATAACATGGAAGAAAGTATTGTAGTTCCAAACTGGGACTGACAAAGCTTGCTTAACCTTGTCGAGTCCACTATTGGGAATCTCTGAATTCACTCTCTGACAGAACAGGGTCGCGCTTCTGCTGTACATACCATTTCTCTCCTGAATCCATGATACACACAAATTGGTGAAGGTTTGTTGCTCACTCATACTGATTCAAGGGTGGCTGAACAAAAATATTTAGCCTATAAATGGAACAGACTTGTGAAGAAGAAATGGATGCCTCTTCATCAGGTTAGCACATTCTTATACAAACAAGGACTTTTATTCAAAGTGTTCTACGGGGAAAAAACAGATGAGATGTTATCTTCACTGTTGCCTGGCAAAGGTGTGAGAGCGCCAGCAAGAGAGATACACTGCGCACAATCCTGTCCTAGAAAGAGACAGAAAGGGGAAAAGGATTTTAAAAGGAGCTTTTTTCCTCCAGGGACAGCAGAGGCAGGGTACTCCGGCTGGAGAGGCAGGTGGTGCCCACAGGCAGGGACCAAAGCAGATGCTCAAACCCACCTAAGGGAACTGTCTGAGCAAGGTGCGAGGATGCCTGGGTGAAGAGCAGGGGACAGTGGGAAGAAGTGATTTCATAATTAACAGAATGATCCATGTTTCCTTCATAACAAGTTGTAATATGTTGTGAAAAACTAAAAATTAAGAGTATTTTTTGCTGTTACAGAAATTAAGTGTATCATAAGTTAGTACACTGTCTGAAAAATATTCTTCTGGCCTAGATTATACAGAAGTATTTTTTAACAAACCCCTTTCTTATTTCCCCAGTTATTCACTCCATACTGCTCGCAAGCAACCTCTGCCTTTCACGAGCCTTCATTTCACATCATGCTGCAGCGTGGAGCCAAAAAGGTTATTTTTAATCTCTAAATAGCAATTGCATGCCATCAGACCTTTTTTTTTTCCCCCCCCAAGAGTAAGCATCCCAGAAAAAAGGTTGAACTAATCAGATCAAAATAGAGAAGGGGGAGTCAAACTCCAACTTAAAATAAAGTGGTGCAACTTGAGAATCTATTCCAAAGAGCGCTCCCGTCAATGAGATTCTTCAAGCTAACTTGGATCGTACCAGTAACTACGAAACCACTACTGTGTACCCTAACCAAAAGAGACTAGATTGCATATGCACATTTAAAATAGACTTAATCT